ATGCATAGATAAGGTGGTATATCTATAAAAATTGACGTTTAGATGTTAGATATGTACATACATAAGACTTGAGCGGTATGTTTGTAAATTTTTTTTTTTTTTTGTTTGTTTACGATAAATCGAATATATGCTAATTACTCTTGGTGTTTAATATTTTTCTCGCATTATCTCACGAAATTTGATGCAGGAGCATCTTGCAAGCTGTCCTGAGGAAAGGACACGTGTTATGAATGAAGGCATGGAAGTGACGTGGCAAGTGGATACGTGGAGGGTTGGCCCTGCTGCACTTCAGGTTTTTCCAATTTGCATGCCATTCCTTTTTAAGTAGACACTCGACCCAAACGACTTAAAAAATAGATTTCGAGTTGGCCCAAATAATTTTTAGTTCGGGTTAGAAATCCTAACAGTTCGTTTTTTTGGGTTGACCTGGAAACATGAAACTGACCAATTAAGCCAAAATTGACTTTTAATTGATTCATCAAACCAAAATTGATCTGAGATCTACTTGAAATCGACTCGAATTTGACATGAATAACTGTTATACCTTATGTTAAATGGGTTATATGATTCTGGTTTGGGTCAACGGATTGAAGGCCGGTCAGATTCAGGTTAAACTTTCTGACCCGTTTAATATTTGGGTTGAGGTTGGGGTTATATAGGGCAGTTTTGGGTCAATCCCAAACCCAACCAGCAAACCCGATTTGACACCCCTAATTTTAAGTGTTTATCTGAGTGATTAGAACTTGATTATTATTATAGCCTTTATTTTTAGAATGTTAAATCTGATGAAATCCCAGTTAAAGGGTTCAGCGTATCATCGATCATTGCATTTTAGTAGCTTAATACTTCATTTCTAGTCATATATGCTAAACATATTTTTTTTGGCCTATATTTTAATATGGGAAGATTACATGCATACAGTTTAATTCCTGGTATTTACATATCTATCACCTATACTTTAATTTTTACATGTATGGCACTTACCCATGCATAAGTATTTATTTTATAGGTCATGATTCTCTTTTTATTTCCAGGTTACACGATCAATTGGTGATGATGACTTGAAGCCTGCTGTGACTGCGGAGCCTGAGATTATAGAAACTTCTTTGTCTGAAGTTGATGAGTTCTTGGTAGATCTCATAACACCTATGCTTCTATTTATATTTTTTATCTACTGATTTCTATATCGGACTACCATGATTGAATAAAGGAAAATTTACATACCCACCACTCTATTCCTATGTATTTACATATCCGACACCTAAAGTTCAACGTTTACACATATGCCTCTTTACCTATGCGAGAGAAGATATATTTCACTTTTTGAAAGTCAAAATAGTGGTATTTTTTATATACAACAACAACAACAAAACCTTAATCCCACTACGTGAAGTCGGCTACATTTTTTTTTTCCATTGCATTCTATTTAGTGTCATATTTTCATTCAGTTCTAACAAATTAAGATCATTTTTTATACAATAAGCCCAAGACTTTCTAGGTTTACCTCTGCCTTTCTTAACATAAATCGAATCTAAAACATCTACTCTCCTAATCGAATAATGAGATGGTCGACGCTTAATGTGACAAATCATCTAAGACGACTTTCTCTAATTTTATCCGTCACATGAGCTAAATTTATGTCATGATTTTTTTGATAAGTTTTACTCAGGCTGTGGATTACCTAACGCAACCCTCCACTTTTCACATCCAGTCTTGGGACCGGCAATTGCAGTGTTAAAATGTTTTTGATATGATGTTAAAATATTTAGTGCCCACTTTTTTCATCAGATGGTATTTTTTATATGATGTAAAAAATTCAGGCGGTATAAATGTAAAAAAGTAATGTTTAGGTGTTTGATATGTAAATACATAGGAATTAGGAAAATTTACTTGCATGTTGTATCCAGTTCCAAAACATACAACTTCAACTGGAAAATATGTAAATGAGTTTCTGAAGTAAAGGTCGAAATAGTAAACGTAATTACCGGGCCAAATTAAATGAGGATATCCTGATCATCAATCAAGATGGACTTACTTTGAGATGCGCGCAATATCATACATACCATCCAATTCCTGTGTTTACATATCTACCACCTAAACTTTCCTCCTTACCTTTCAACTGCCACTATTTCTCAATCACATCAAAAGTAACATATATTCACGTTTAGGTGTTAGATTTGTTATATACATAGGAATTGAGTGCTATGTCTGTAAATTTTCTAAATTTTCCCATAAAAATTGTTTGATGAGTTATATTACGCTAATCTTAAAGCAAATTCAAATATTTTAAAATTGAACTTAATCAAATTTCATTTAAGGTGATGGCTAGTGATGGACTGTGGGATGTTATGAGCAATAAAGAAGTGATATCCATTATTAGAGATACTGTGAAGGAGCCAACACTGTGTTCCAAGAGATTGGTGACTGACGCTGCTGCACGTGGCAGCAAAGATAATATTACAGTCATTGTCGTCTTCCTCCGGCCTGTATCCACGGCTGAAAGAGTTTATTAGCTCATCAAACAGGTAATCATCATGCCATAACTTTCATTGGGAAATTTACATACATTCCCTACTATTGTTATGAATTTACATATATCACCTAGAGTTTGATATTTACATTTATAACACTGGTGCGATAAACATATGAAGTGATATTTTTTTTATGTGATGTTAAGATTTGAGTGTTATGAACCTAAATATTAAAATGTAGGTGTTAGATATGTTTATTGATTGGCATGCTTGTTTTCATTTAATGTGCTTTTAATGATTAGCTTAAATTTCTGCTTGTTTATGTGAGCTTCATAAATATGATTTTGTTCAATTGTGTTCGGCTCAATAGTTGCTCCATAATATATAGAAAGATTTACATGCAGACAACTCAATCCTTATGTATTTATATATCTGGCACCTCAACATTAATCTTTACACATGCATTTTTAAATGTTAAAATATTAGTATTTTTTATGTGTTATGAAAGATTTGAGTGGTTAAATATAAAAAGCATTTTTTGTGTGTGTGTGTGTGTGTGTGTGCAAGGGCCGCTACACCGGCGCCCGGGTGTAGTGTTAAATAAGCAAGGGTTCCCACATTACGGGCGAATGCGGGTAAAGAAGTTAGTCCATGAAACTAATGAAACTAATATTAGGATAGGATCTTGGAATATAGGCACTCTCAATGGTAAATTAATGGAATTAGTTGATATTATGATTCATAGGAAAATTAATATCTTATGTATTCAAGAAACTAAGTGGGTGGGAGAAAAGGCTAAGGAGATTGATAATTTAGGTTTTAAACTTTGGTATTCTGGTAAGAGTCGCACTAGAAATGGTGTAGGTGTAATTATAGATAAGAGTTTGAAAGATAATGTTGTAAAAATTAATAGAGTTGGTGATAGAATTATAGCCCTTAAGATTATCATTGATACTAAGATTTTTAATATTATAAGTGTTTATGCTCCTCAAGTAGGTTTAGATACAGAGTCTAAAGATAAATTTTGGAATGACTTAGAAGACTTAATACAAATGATACCTCTTGAAGAAAGAATTTTTATTGGAGGAGATTTAAATGGACATGTCGGTAGAGTGGTAGAAGATTTCAGAAATATTCATGGTGGCTACGATTTTGGAGTAATTAATGAAGAAG